TTTTATTGGCAGACGAAATAAACCGCGCACCGGCCAAAACCCAGTCAGCGCTGCTTGAAGCCATGCAAGAAAAGCAAACCACAATAGATGGCAAAACCTATGCGTTGCCCCAACCGTTCATGGTCTTGGCCACACAAAACCCTATTGAACAAGACGGCACTTATCCGCTGCCCCAAGCCCAGCTGGATAGATTTATGGGGAAAATTCTTATAGATTATCCGAGCGAAGATGAGGAACAAGCTTTACTGGCGCGTATTGCCAACTCCCAAGATGGGCTTACTCCGGACATGCAATTAAATGTATTGGAACAAGTGCTTACACTGCAAGAGCTGCAAGATATGCAAACCCAAGTAGCCCAGGTGCGCTGCGATCAGCAAATACTTAACTATATCGTAGCCATTGTGCGCGCCACTCGCAAACACTATGGCCTGGATGCAGGAGCTGGACCGCGCGCCACTATGGGACTGCTTCAAGCGGCCAGGGCCCACGCGCTCTTGCAAGGACGCGCGTTTGTGATTCCAGATGATGTCAAAAACTGTGCCCCTATGGTTCTGCGCCATAGGTTGCGCTTGAGTGCTGAGCTGGCGATAGAAGGGCGCAAAGACGATGAACTCGTGCAAGAGATTTTGGAAAAAATCGACGCCCCAAGACAATAATGGCTTCAACCCAGCCTAACCATACTTTGCATGCAGCAGACGCTGGCAAGCCATCCAAAGCTTGGCGATTGTCTTTGCTTGCCACCCACAGGCTGACTTTGCTGGCTTGTGCGTGGGCAATATGCGGTATTGCGCCCGCAATTTGGCCGCAGTTGCAGCAAGTTTGGTGGGTTTTGGTGATATCTACGCTTTTACTGGTGGTTTTAGACGCCTGGCGACTTTGGCGCAGCAGCTTGCAACACATTGTTTTTCATCGCAAAATAGCTAGTAATCTGGCTTTGGGAGTGGCTGCGCCTGTAGACATTATCTGTCAGCTTTTCTCCAAAAAAACAACAAAAAACCCCAGTAAATCCCAACGCATCATGCTGCACGACTGGTATCCAGCCCATTGCAGCGCCCCACAAGCCCAG